ACAAAAATTCGTCCTTAATAAAAAAACTCATGACGTGGAAAATAGGAAGGGATCATCCTCAGGGATAACTGCAAAGCCAACCGTGGAAGTGACTCAGCTAAGCACTGAACAGATTCACATCGAAATATTGGATCTCAGCTGATCTCCAACGGGTCCCAAGCTTTATGAAAAAAAGTTACCGTCACTTTGAGTCTTAGTAACCTCGGAAACAGCTCATCGAACAGGAGGGGAACTGAGTCTTCGCCGGTTTCCACTCCGGTTGAGAACCGGAGAAGAGGCTTCGGACTATGTCCGGATGATCACTGGAACAAAGCCATAGATACGTCTTGGTGCAGTTCCGCTTGGGATGGGGGAGGTGGAGGGGAAGGATGAGTGGGGCATTTTGTACTTCCGCTACTTCCCATCGACGTATCGAGTCATCAAGTGAAGACCTGCGGATACTTGTAATGCCACAAAAACCAGTGCAGTGACCAGCCAAAGCTCGTAGAGACCACATGTTAACTTTTGTTGAGAATACTAGTCAGCTCATGGAAGCAGGGAAAGCGAAAGTGTGAAAATGCCCACCCCCTCCCCACTATGCATCCCCTCAAGTAGAGCTACCTCGCAGTTTTCTTCTTATTCAAATTGTCCTTGTACAAAATCAAGCTAATTCAATAGTAAGTGTTAGGGGACTCTTCCCGGTCTTATAGTAAACGCTGTGACTCATTGCTCTGCACTCGTAATAAACCGTTCACGGTTTTTTCTAGAGAACTCCCACGAGCTTTGCATCATGCAGTACATTATGGTAATCTGGTTTAAATCTCGATTGAAGTCATGATTCATATGAAAATGTGGTCATAGAACCGCATCAAAATGGTAATATAAAAGGTGCTCAGCCATTCAACACATATCCCTCGCTGCATTTCTGCATTTTGCTGCCAAGCCTGCATTTCTGCCGAGGGACAGTTCAAGTCCACATAATATTTCCGCTCATTTTCTCTATCGAGGCTCCTGGAACGCGCATTTTACGTTGATCGTTTGGGCGGAGTAATCTGGAGCAGTGCGCCCTCCCCATTGGTGGATACCTCATTCTAAGACGAAAAGGGGCAAAAATCTCCAATGGGGAAGACACAATGATCCAGTTTATCGCGCTCATATGATCAGCGTGGCACTATGAAGACGTAGAGTCATTTCAGATGCCTGCGACCACCCATTTGATCCTTGTCTGGATTACGCTGTGTATGCTGGGTGCTGTGATAGGACGCCGACAAGGTGGCGGACGTGGACATTCTGGCGAGTACGATAGAAAGCCCCCCATGGGAGGACAAGGAGGCCACGGTGGCAATGGACAACAAGGAGGCTATGGATCACATGAAGGCCATGGTGGGCCCCAGGATTTGGACAACAAGGAGGGTTCGGTGGTAGCGCAGGCTATCCCGGTAGGTCTTGTGCTTTAGCTTTTGTGGACATTTTCGCACGATTTTTCAATGCTTTTATTGTACAAAACATTTAAAAAGGCCCAGTGAGCCCTAATGATTTAGGAGGCCACGGAGACCTAGACCTCCGAGGCAAGGAGGTCATGGTGGCAGCGGCCTTCAAGGTGATAGACCTAGAAACGGCGATTCTGAAAAGAGAGGTACGTTAAGTGGACTCCCGCAAAAACATTCCCAGACAACTTCAAATTTTTGTCAAAATATAATAGTAGAAATTGTCCACCCAAGAGCACCCTCGTTGCCATTCGTGTGGGCGAAGTTGGACCTAGTATTGTGTCATTCTCATTTGCAAGCAGACCTTTCGAACAGTGTTAGTAGGAGGGATGCGCGAATGGTAAAGGCACAATAGTAGGCCTGACTCCGCCCATGCGGCCAGTGAGAACTGTGCTTCTTTAAGTGAGGACTGAGAAGTACGTAGCATGGGCTGAGAGCCATACATTGCTTTCAGGAACGATAGGAAGCGGTGCTGAAACCGAACGAGTCACTGAAGCAAATCGGGTCTGAACAGAGGACGAGTCGTTTCAGCTCTTTTCAGTTTGTTTTAAGAAACTACGAATTTCACCACGACCTTCTAGTCGTGCAGCAATACCAATAAAAATGTTAAACGTCAA